GGACGGACGGACGGACGATCATGCGATTCTACAAGCTGCATCTGACTATGTCAGATGAGCTAAAAACACACAAGTTCAAGCCATCCCAATTAAACCGCGTGTAGTGTTCATTTACTGATTTAGCAATAACTGACAACAGACAACAACCGTGGAATAAAAAACCACAACACATCCGACTTTTCCCGGTAATACTATATGCTCAATGTTGTCGTATCAGGTACTACAGATATGTACCCGAGGTACATATATGTATACACAAAGTTAGCTCTAGTACTATAGCCCGGGGAAAGCTGCCGCAGGCGGCCTGCGGCACCTACCCGCAGGCTATAGTACTAGAGCTAACACAAAGTGTACCACTACCAGACTTGTACTACAGAAGTGTACCCTAACCCTAACCCTAAACATACCTCATATAAAAATATATAATATTTATATATTATTATATATAAATATATAACTACCTCGGGTACATATCTCTGATACGACAACGACCCCATCTGCAATACTAATAGTAATAGTGCACTGTACTGCCCCATGGCATGAACTAAAATTTTAAAACCTTGCTAAACTAGGCCTATAACTTCGCGACTCAACACTAGAATTAGAATTCACAGACTGCTTCGAATCCTAATTAAAAGCAATAAAACCGTGTCGTACCTTTCGTTTATAGCAACACTTTATGCTGTAATGCTCGTATTCAAGTATTCTCTCGTATTTTCACGTTAGAACTATTCCAGCACAAGGCGACCCACTTGCTTTTATACCAGCTGGGTTGCGTGCGCAGCGCTGCCTCTCACGCACTGTCCACGTGCACAGCGAGTGTTCGTTCGTAAGCCGTGAAGCGATCAACACGGGGTGAGGCTACGGTCAGCCAGCCTGGCGCGCTGCAAGCACGTAGGCCTACGTCAAGCAGGTTTTGAGTTTCCGTTTTGAACCGCCCTTTACTTGACTGAGTCTGAGTTATACGTGAACATTTCTTCTTCTTGCTCTCAAAACGGGTTCATCTACGGTTGTGTGCAATTTCGTTGTGAATTGGCTACTAAAATAATATATCGCGTACTGCGTGGGTCGTGTCAGAATTTAGATACATGTTTGCACGGCTGCGTTATCGTATCTAGGGTTGCGCTGACGTCATGCGTGACGTAAAATCGGCGCGGTGGTACCACAGACTAATCCAACTAACTATCTAACGGACTATCTAACTAGACTATCTAACGGATACAAGTCTGTCCTAAGACTAGTCCAAAAATCCTATGCTTGTAGTTTAGTATTGCTTGCAGATATTTTTGCTAATTTTCTCAGCCAACCCGTAAGAACCGTTTTAGTTTCCCCGGTGACCCCGATGAACCCCGGGTCCCCGGGTCCCCGGTTTCCCCGATGAATTCAGGGAGGGAGGAAGGGATGCGGACGTTGTTGATGTTGTCGCCGTCGTCAATAAAGAGTATATACTTTCTATACAAAATTTAAAAGAATAATAAAAAAAACTTTATTATTGTTGTTTGTGCACAGCGGCGTGGGTTCGGTGTATTTGTGTGTTTGCAAAGAAGTTTTTTAACGGAATTTACAGGAAATTTCCGGCAATAATAGCTACGCGAAATTAAGAGAGTATAGAGAAGACTGGTAGATAAAGACTTTAAGATTAATTAAGACTTTGGTAGAAAATACATTTTATGTTTATTTATCATAATTTTACTATTGAAACGTTCCATGTGCCCGTGGCGGTCGCTGCATGCGTTTGTCGTCGTCGCGTGCGTCTGTCACGGCATGCAGCATACATGCATCTGATCAAGAGCATATAAAGAAGGATGCCTTCTTTATATGCTCTTGATCTGATGCATATGCATGGGCACATGCTCACCAGCACATGCTCATGCACGATATGCGCTCGATCCCGTCGTTTGAAAGCTGCGGTGGCATCCGCGTCGAGGTGAAGGATGTGGCATTAGCAGATTTAGCCGATTGACGTAAGCGGGCTAATTTTAGACGTATACGTAGTTGCTAAATCTTCTTGAACGTGTTATTTTACAGGGAGAATCTCCGGTACATAGGCGTCGTTATAATAGTTATTATCAGGAGTGAATAATTAACTGTTATTATCAATCATTTTCTTTATCGTACGTGCATATAAATAATTACACAAGTGTAATTGCAGTGTGTGGCACTATACGAATCAGGTGTCCGCGATTATCAGTGTTTATCATGAACAATTGATATTACATAATAATTATGTGTAGAAGTACAGAATCCTATCTATGGTATATATCTATACATGTTTTTGTCTACCCGTGTCAAATTAAAATGATCAAACTATATATCTGACTCATTCTTATTGTGATTCTGTTAATCATTCATTGTGAAATAACTGTAGAATACGTTATTTTGCCATATTTCTGAGTAATACGCAATACAACAACTATAAGGAGCAATTGGGCCGTGCATATGCTCAGATACTGTATCCGGCAACAAGGTCTTCATCACTTCTAAGCACACCCGCGACGCTGTTTATAATATTTTTTTTTTAATTTAGGTGCGGCACCTGCCAATTCCTCGCTACGCGTTTACTTTGTGTGCGTGTGTGTGCGCGCGGCAGTGCATGCAGATTTAGCGCACAATGATAATTGTTGGCCGAAATGGAAAGTAGAATGATCGATGATTTATTTTTATTACTTTAAAACAAAAATAATTGTTGTCGCTCGAAATGACTATACAGATGACCAGTTAGATATAAATGTTATTATTTATACAGTGCTTTGGGTACTTCAAACGTAAATGACGCAAAAAAACCGTAACGTTGATGAACATTTTGGGACAACACACGACATATGATAATTTATTACGTTTACAGAAACATACAAAACGCACACATACACTTTTCAACAGATTTGTACTGTTTTATATATACATTACATAAACACACACACACACAAAGTATATAGAGTCTTTTAAAGACTGTATAAACAACGTAAAACACAAGGTCTATTCTATACAGGAGAGAGCACATCAACATGTAACTGAAACCATCACTATTCGAACGTACTGCTGCCTTGGTCGAAATACGCATCATGGTGGACGTTTTAAATAACTTTTTGATAAACGCAAATTTGGCATACTATTGTAAATTATATAGTGCTATTTTTTAGGTTTAATCGTGTGCGGTTGTATCTGCACTTTTTATACACTTCTCGTTTAAGGATCGGACTATAAATAAACTCTTAAATGGGTATATCGGCACATAACTGGGCTTATATATGTAACGAAACCATGACTAGTTGGAGGTATACACATTAAATAACGCCAGTTCAAATCATCACGATTTTAGGCAACAAAAATAGTATTTCAGTTCACCTATACTGCATATGGTTACATTTCTACATAAAATTGAAAATAATATATAGATTGTGACGATACAATCGAAAATATATTGCAATCGAATATGTTAATTATTCGATGCCTCGTGGCCTGTACCTTAAAAAAGTGGAAATTTTATTACTTTCTCATTATCGAACACTGCTGCCGTAAATTGGCAATAAATGTTACATTTATTTCATCTCAGCATAGTCATTGTCATAGAGGAATACCTCGTCAGAAATTTTAATGACTGAACAATTTTATTAATTTTTATTTATAAAAATAAAAGTGAGATCACACGAATGTACGATTATTGTCACCATAGTGAAGCCCGAACGTGTACTTGGATTAATATTAATATGCAAGTAGATCTACCCTGATGTATGAATGGCAAATATCACAATTATTCAAAAGCTTTCAGATTCTCAGGACATATATATGCAGGGTACTGTACACTACTTGCAAAAATATTACTCTTAATAAATCCGATACCGTATCCTGCAAATAAGGGGACCAAATGTGTTTGCTTTCAACTTGCCCAAAATGCAAGACTAGGCGACTGAACTACACTAATGCACAGCAACTTATATTGTGGAATCTGGGCACGAATAAAGCCATAATTGCAGTTTAATCAACCTAGGCTTCAGCTATGGTGACAAACATAATGGTAAACGCCTGGCAAGCTTATCACATAGAATATACTAGAATTATATACATGAATTTACTAGCTGCAACAGCAAGCACTAATGCGCGACATAATCTTTACAACTCTGGCATGATAATCTGCTTGTTTTTGTTGGCAAGTGTCCTAACGCTTTCCTTGAGGTTAGCATCAGATGTTGTGATAAGTGTTCCACCCTAAGAGAAAGAGAGGAGAAAATTGGTACATGTCATAGTTATAATAATTAACATTATAATACATATATATATATATATATATGTATTATATTGTTGATGACCATAATATATATATATATATATATATATATATATATATATATGCGTGCTGTCAGGACAAATACCCCGCCGGGGCAATCCCCCCCGGACAATGATTACCACCGCGACAATTACCCCGGACAATTACCCTCCATATGGCATTTACTCCCCTATCGCTATGCAACCCCCCGCGACAAAATCACCCCGACAATACACCCCCGGCATTTACCCCCGGGACAAGTCACCCCCGCGACATTTACCCCCGGACAATTCCCCCCGCGACAATTACACCCCCAGATCATAATTACCCCGCGCATTTACCCCTGGACAATTACCCCTGCGACAATTCACCCCCGCGCCATGCCAATTCCACCCCCGCGCGACAATCACCCGGGCATTTAGCCCTGGACAATTACCCCGCGACAATTACCACGCGGACAATTACCCATGTCATTTACCCACCATGCCATTCAGCCCCCGGACATTTACCCCGGACACATCACCCCCCGGACATTTACCCCCGGAGACAATTACCCCCCAGACGTTTACCCCCAGACATGTACCCCCCGCACAATTTACCCCCCGCACAATTACCTCCGCCGACATTTACCCCTCGGACCAAATTACACCCGCGACAATTACCCCCCGGACAATTACCCCATGCCATTGCACCCCCGGCACAATCACCCCTGGACAATTACCCCCAGAATCAATTACCCCCCGAGGCATTTACTCGACGGACAATTACCCCCCGGACATTTACCCCCGACAATTACCCGCGCGGACATTTACCCCAGGACAATTACCCCCGGAACATTTACTTACTTTGGTGTTATTATTCATTGTTGAACAGTTGATACAGGCAGAGAGGTCGAGCGAGGGCACGGAAGACAAGGTGTGTAGGCAGGAGGGAGGGGAGAGGTAAATAGAAGGTAGGGAGGCAGGACGGAGAGGAGGTGGAGGGAGGAGGACGGAGAGGTGGCTGGAGCGAGGAGTTGAGAGGGAGAATGTGAGGGGAGAACGTGGTGGAGGAAGAGGAAGGCGGGTGAAGCGGAGAAGGAGGACGAGGGGAGCAGAGTGGAGGAAGAGAGAGGAAGGAGGCAGGAGGGACGAGAGGAGAGGGAGTGAGGAAAGGAAGAGGAGGAGAGGAGCCGAAGAGGATGGAGGCAGCGAGGAGGGAGGCAGGAGGAGGAGGAGGAGGAGGAGGAAGAGAAAGAGGATGGTAGGCAGGAGGAGGGGGGAAAGTAGCCGGAGGGCCAGGTGGTGGAGGAGGAGGCGAGAAGGTGGTGGAGCGAGCAGAGAAAGGAGAGGAGGTGGAGGAGAAGAGGGGGAGAACGTGGGAAGTAAGGTGGTGGAGGAGGAGGAGCGGGAGAAGGAGGAGGAGGAGGAGGCTGGAGCGAGTGAGGAGGAGGATGGGAAGAATGGAGCGAGGGAGAGGAGGTGGAAGAGAGGGGAGAACATGGGGAGGATAGTGCTGGATGCAGGGGGGAGAGTGATGAGCGAGAGGGGGAAGGAGACGGTGGAGGAGGCAGGAGGAGGTGAGGGACGGGGTGGTAGCGGGGCCACTGGAGGAGAGGACGGGAAGCAGGGTGGAGGAGGAGGAGAGAGGAAAAGGTGGCAGGAGGGGAGCGAGGAGAGGGCGGATGTGGCATGAGGTAGCAGGAGGTAGAGGCGCCCTGTCTACCTCTTCCCTACCCCCACGCTCCTCTCCTTCCTCCTTCTCTCTCTCTCCTCACCTCATATCCTCCTCATTCCTCCACCATTATCCCCCCTCCTCCCCCTCCTTCCTCCGCACCTTCTCCCACGTTCTTCCCCCTCCTCCTTCTCTATCCCTTCCTCCTCCTCCACTCTCCTCCTCTCTTCTCCTCCTCCTGCCACCTCTTTCTCTCTCCCCTCCTTCTTCTTCCTCCTTCCACACCACCTTCTCCCCTCCTCTTCTCACCACCTGCGCCCTCCCGCTTACTCCTCCTTCTCTACCTCCTCACCTCCTCTTCTCCCTCCTCCTCTTTCCTCCCTCTACCTTCCTCTCTCCTCTTCTTCTCCTTCTTGCTCCACCACCTTCTTCCCTCCTCCCTCTTACCTTCTCCTTTGTCTCTAACTCCCCTCCTCTCCTCGGTCCTCCTCCTCCTCCACTGTCTCTCCCCTCTCCCCTTCCACCTTTTCCCCCTCCTCCTCCTCCTCCACCTTCGTCCCTTTCTCATCCTCCACCACGTTCTCCCCCACGTTCTCCTCTCCTCCTCTTCCACTCCTACTCCCCTCCTCCTCCACCTCCTCTCCTCCTCTCTCCTCTCCACCACATCCCACCTCTCTCTCCCCTCCTCTTCCACCACCTTCTTCCCTCTCCTCGACCTCTGCCTGTATCATGTTCAACAATGGAATAATAAAACAACCAAGTGAGTAAATGCTCACGGGGGTAATTGTCGGCGGGGGGGTAATTGTCCGGGGGGAAATGTGCCAGGGGGTGAAATTGTCCGGGGGTAAAATGCTCGTGGTTGAAATGTTCGGGGGATTGTCGGGTGGGTAAATAGTCAGGGGGTAATTGTCTGGGGGGTAAACTGTCTGACGGGAGTAATTGTTCGGGGGGTAATTGTCCCGGGGCGTAAATGTGTCAGTGGGCGTAATTGTCCGGGGAGTGAATGCCATGGTGGTAAATGTCCGGTGCGGTTAAGTTGTCCAGCGGGTTAAATGCTCCGGGGCGGTAATTGTCGCGGGGTCTAATGCTCAGGGGGTGATTAGTCTGCGGGGGTGATTGTCGCGGGCGGTTAAATGTCGGGGTATATTGTCCGGGGCGTAATACCGGAGGGTAATTGTCGCGGACGGGGTAAATGTCCGGAGGGGTAATTGTCGAGGGCGCGTAATGTCCGCGGGGGTAATTAGGCCAGGCTGAGTAATGTCCGAGGGGCTAATTGTCCGGGGTAAATGTCCGGGGGGTAATTGTCTGCGGGAGGTAATTGTCACAGGACGGTAATTCGTCCGGCGGTAAATGTCCAGCGGGGGTACATTGTCCCGGGCGGGTAAATGGCATGGGGCGTAATTGATCCGGGCGGTAATTGTACCGGGGGTAATTGTCGGCGGGGGTATTTGTCCTTAGAACCAGATATATACATATATATATATATTATGGTCTTTAAGTATTGGCCTTATTATGGTTAATTAGCTTTTATTGGCTTAAATTCTGGTCTATTAACATGAGAGAATGTGGCTTCATAGGGAGACAGCAAGCACGCGTGTGTGTGTGTGTGTGTGGGTGCTTGCGTGGCGTGCGCGCTGTGCGTGCATGTGTCTGCGTCGCGTGCTTACGTATATATATATATATATATATATATATATTATAAATATTATATATAAATATATATATAGACGACACGGACGCACGCACGCACACACACGCACGCGCGCACGCACCTGTCTGTTCGTCTCCCTATGAAGCCACATCTCTCATGTTAATAAACCATAATTAAGCGAATAGATACTTGACCTAAATTGATCGATAGATGGAAGGATATTGCGGCGATCCAGATTGAGTAGTGCATGAGATGCAGCAGAGTTGAGCAAGATTTTACATTATGTGCGATAATTGTTCATCGAGTAGATTTCAGTTATTGTCCTCCACAATTGATATACGTACCTCGGTCAAACAGTAAAGGCATCGCTTCAGTACTCTAATGTTTGGCTCACAACAGACTATGACATCCAGTTTTCCATAGCAAATGTTTTCTGTAATTTCAATTAACTCCTCCTCAAACTCTTCAGGATCCCAGTGGATGACAAAACACTCGTATTCGTCTGCTGCCAGGATACAGTCATACTGCAAGGGAATTCAAACGTCCTTTGATTCATTGTCATTGCAGTGTAGATATTGCCTAGATGTATATGGCATAGCATCGATGCTCTATAATGCTCGGTTTATGACCATTTGTAGAAAGCTAGGGAATGTGTTGCAAGTGCACAAGCTTGAATGGAGAACTCGATATTTCATTGGAACATTAAAAGATTCAGGTGACGGATGACTTACATCAGTTGCAGCAGCTGTGATAAGATGGGATCCCCTGAACCTCTTGTTTGCCTCATCAATTATACTATCCAGTGTGGTTCCACAGCCAACCATTAAAACCTTGCAAAGGCCTGAAAGTGTACGAAACGGAAATGAACCACTAAACATCTAACGTTTACACCATGCATGAACTCATCTAGTAAATCTCGTTATCGGCGTGTTAAACGTACAAAAATACAATAAAAAGAAAAGAAAACGTGCTAATGTTCACACAAACATACCTTGAGCGCCCTTGATAGAGTCGAGAATTGGCTCGATAGCACTGATGGTTCTGCTTGGGTCGAGAGAGATGCTGCTACATTCTGACGAAATGGACGCTATGCTGTCCTGGGTCGTGAACGTACGCAGCTTCGGGTTCGTTGGCGTCACACCATATGCATTGGTAGTCCTGCTATCAATCTTCATACTGTAACGCGAAAGCGAAAACCTGATGATTTACAGTTTATGTCATCGTGTACGTATATATATATATATGTATATATATCAGGCGTTATATATATATATATATATATATATATATATATATCAAGAGTACATGCTCTTAAGTCTTGATATATATGTGTGTGTGTGTGTGTGTGTGTGATGTGCGTGCGTGGCTTTGTGCGGCGTGCGTGCCGTTGTTGTGGTGCGCGTGCGCGTGCGTCGTGGCAGTGTGTTTTCGGGGGTTATATTTAGTATATATATATATATATGTGTGTGTGTGTGTGTGTGTGTGTGTGTGTGTGTCTGTTTAAAAAAAGTTATAATAGTTGTTAAATAGCGATATTTCTGTTGTATGTTGTCTATAATGTGTTTCATTTTGTGATACATATACGATAGCAACGATTATGAACAGTCGGTAAACATCCCAAAGCCAATGCGTACCTAGCTCTAGTAACTATAGCCCGCGTACAGTTGCTGCAGGCTGCTGCAACTGCGGCAAGCCTGCGGCAACTGTACGCGGGCTATAGTTACTAGAGCTAATGCGTACTCTACACGCAGACTTGTATAGCTAAGCTGGCTAACAAGCGGTACCCGAGGACGTTATATGCAATCATGAGTATGTAACGTTGAATTAATGTTCGATGTAGAAATGATGAGGAAGAAATCCAAACTTGTGTGGTAACCTGAATAAACTTTAATATATATGCTCGCACACAGTGTGTCCATCTTGCACAAAGAGACAAAGAAACGCGCACACGCGCGTAAGCGCGTGTGCTTACTCTCCCCATTCCCCACGACAATGACTACCCTGTCATCGATTCAGCGTCCCCGCTGATCTAGATTTTAACCTAAACCTAAACAATTAAAAAATAAAAATAAATACTACCCTAATACTTTCCTAACTCAACCCCAACGAGAGAAACGTATTTATGTCCAATTAAACAACCCACAATCAATACACAAACAAAACAACAATAAAAATACAATAAAAAAATACATATGAAGCACAAAGCTTTCTATACAAAACAACTAACGATACAGTTCGATCACCATACAAGTCAGAAATTCAACACATTTGGCAGTGAACATTTTGATATCGCTGCAATTACTTTCATTCTTGCGTCTTTTTATGCCGTAACGTACGTGGCGTATGCGTATACCGACACGCATTACCGAAACCACGTTTAGCCATGTGCTCCATTATATCCTTATTTAAACCTCTTAATCGGATTCCCATTATTACACACAGCACCGATGTGGACCTAAATATACCTTTGCCACTTCCACACATCATACAACAACAAAAAACGCAAAACTTATTTAATAAATTTTCGATTAAATGTTTTAGGCCTATCATACTCTAATAGAAAAATGTGTTTAGCAGTCTAACAATATAGCGTAACCGTTAGCACAAATTCAAGAAAACGATCAGAAATTTCTACACAAAGTTTCACGCAAAAGATTTTCCCACACAAACACAAACGGTCACAAGCATCTACCATGAAAAAAATACCGTGTACATAAAACAAAGAAAAACAAAAAAATACACATTCCTGATGATGACACCCTTTCACGTCCAGTTTCGACGGCACGAGATTAAAGGTTTCTATCAATTAAATTCTAGAATGCCCTGGATTTTTTTTAGCCATTACAGTTCGCAATTTATCGTTCACGTCCTCTGTCTCTGCTCTGTCAGCCTTGCCTTCTCTGTTCGGCTATCTTCTCTCTCTCACACACAGGTCGAGACTCGGACTTACCCTCGCAAGTATCACGAATACAACACCGGCCCTTCCTTCCTTCACGCTGACTTACTCACATCGTGCTTACGCCGTGTGTATCCATCGTTCTCGCTTCCGCGTCTCGCTCTTTCCGTTCCTCTCTCTCCGCCATTCTTCGTCACTCTCGATCGCTCTCCGTCATTCTTCTTCTCTCTCGATCGCTCTCCGTCGTTCTTCGTTTCTCCTACTGAGTACTCTTAATTGCTCCTGTTCTCGTCACTCTCTTTCTCTGTTTCGTTGCTGGCCCGTAGATCAACATAGTGGAGTACCTTACGTTGCGTCCGCAAAGGAATACCCAGGTTTTGGACTGTCACTGGCTCCAAAATGTAACGTTGAATTACACCAAAGAGATTTGAATAAAATAATTTAGAGTAAAATAATCAAAGACGAAATATAAATTTTGTGTTCACTAAAAGAATATATTGTTTGCAACTAATAGAAGTCTCTACACGGTACACGCTAAAGGAATGCCAGAACTGAACCCCGACCTATCTTCAAATTTCTATTTATATGCAAACTCTGCACCAATCATACTCATTTCCAAATTCTTCTCGACCAATCACACACAACTGCCTAACGCTTTGTCTACTCAAAACACCCGCTATAACCCGCATGTTTAACACCCGATCTGCACCCCTGTCTTGACTAATATTCCTAAACTAACACTCGTCTACATCGCACACGCAACCTACTATTTGTAACCTACATGCTAACTACTGCACTTATCCCAACCCAGCTAACCCAATAGCTAAACGAGCGAGGTCAAACAGAGGTCAAGGGGACATAGACCTTATCTGCGCTAATTTCAGCCAAATCTAGCTACTTTATGTAAACATCTGTAAAACACATGTTACAAGTACATATGGATCAGGGGCCCGTTGTCAGAAACAAATTAGTCTTAACATTAACCTTAACATTAACTTTTTCTCTTAGAGCGTTGACAGAAACTTCGTAAAGTTAAGAGAATTAAAAATTCTCGTAACTTTTCTCTTAACTTTCCTAGACCCTCCCTTAACTTTAATATTAAGATGAAAATAACACATTTAGACTATAAGAATTACAATTATTGTACAATCGAGTAATATCATGTGTTTTTCTTGAAAAACACGTCAAAAACATTAATAATCTACCGATCGTGAAGCAAAACAAAAGTGTCAAAACATTTACAAATGCCGTATGACATTTGTTCTCTTGTCTATGCACTGACCATACGACTCTCGCGTCTCGTGAGAATTGCTACAGTGTGAGAATTTGTCTTGTTGTGCAGAATAAATTCATGACCACGTCATTTTTCATCAAATATTATTTATATGTGGTTAGACATCATAATATGCATAAATTACTGTGATGTACAATAAATGTGTATGAATTTGAATTTTGTGCTCGATTTTCATCCAGTCAGCAGCCTTGTGACATAAAAATATGAAGTTCCTGTTATCGTGAGTTTTCACTTAAGTAAGTTTAGTTACGATAGATTTCTGTCAACGCTATTAACTTTTCTCTTAACATTAACATTAGTCTTAAAATTAATCGTAACTTTACGAAGTTTCTGACAACGGGCCCCTGATACTCTAATTTCTCATATTAGCGCGTATAATATCATATTCATTTATCACCGCGTGTTAAATTCACGTTAACAGCAGATCGAGGCATATTTTAGCTTATCTGGGATAGTGCTAACTAATTTAGCTATAATATATTATATATTTATTTTACAATTATTATACTGGTGGGCACTGTCTAATAAGAGTTTAATGAGCCTGCTCGTGTACGCCGTATAAACCATGCATTACAATTACATAGGTTACACAGATTACAAACCAATGTTTGTTCTTACAGGGTAAACACGCGTACGGTAGTTAGTCGCTGTTCACGTATTACGGTGGTTCTAGTTCCTGTTCACGTGATAGGAGCATGACTGTTCCGCCGATCGATACACTGACGTTCTGTGACATGCACTCCGTACAACAGGCGCTGCCTAATCGCACCGTTTTCTAGCACTATTCGAGAGAATGTCTGGGCGAAGACACGTAGCAGTCCTGCCAGATACTATAAGGCCGTCAGCGTCGACATTTATACCAGCACAACATACTTACTTCTTGTGCCCCACAAAGCAGCATACTAACAGAGTTACCGACACAAGTTCACTTCTTCACCAAAGGCGACAATAAGATTCATCTACACAATTTATGAACAGCAATTCATGAATCTAGGTAACTATAACTGGAACAGCAAACTAAAACATATGAGCGCACACAAATTTTAGATACGACGATGTTCACCTTGTGATGGGATTTGCAACGCACGGGATCGCTTGGAATTAGAGATACGTTTCTGATTCACTTTAACGCTCAGAGTACTGCTTGAGCGCAGCTGAGCAGCCGCTTATATACCGCCGATAAAAAAGCAACACGCTGTGAGCACGTGCCTGCTCGCTGCCTCGATAAGTGCACGGGATAAGTAACGCGGCGGCGGTTACGTAGTACGCATACGTCTTATCTGCTACTTTCTATAACCCAACTCCCGTATTGTATAACCCGTCAGCAGGCTTTGAGGCCATTTACCCCCCAGACAATTACCCCCCGGACAATCACCTCCCCCCGGACAATTACCCCCGGAACATTACCCCCGGGCATTTACCCCCCGGACAATCACCCCCCCGGACATTTTCCCCTGGACAATTACCCCCCGGAGATTTACCCCCCGGACAATTACCCCCGGACATTTAACCCCCGTACATTTACCTCCGGACATTTAGAAGAGGAGTTAGAGGACGACGAAGAAAGTAGTGAAGGAGGAGGAATAGGAGGGGGAGAGGAGGAGGTAGAGGAGGTAGAGGAGCTGCAGGTGAGGGAGGAGGAAGAGGAGGAGGGGAGAATGTGATGGAGGAGGAGGAAGTAGAGGCGCCCTCCTCTACCTCCTCCATCCTCCACCTCCTCTCCTCCTCCTCTCTTCCTCTCCTCATCCTCCTCCACCTTCTGCCCCTCCTCCTCCTTCACCACCTTCTCCCCACCTTCTCCCCCTCCTTCTCCTCCACCTCCCCTCCTCCTCCTTCACTCCCTATCTTCCTCATCGTCAGCCTGCCTCTCGCTCCTCTCTTCTCCTCCACTACCTGTCCCCCTCCCTCCTCTACCACCTGCCTCCGCTACCTCCATCCTTGCTCTACCCCCCCCAGCCTTCTCCAACCCCTCCCCCCCTCCTTCCACGACTTCTAAACCACAGTATCGGCCACTCGATCTGCCTCACTCCCCTCCTCAGTCCCCTCCTCCTCCTCGCTCCTCCCTGACCACAATCCCTCGCTCCTCTCCTCCTTCTCCTCGCTCTCCTCCTCTCCGTCCTCTCACTCCGCTCTCCTCCTTCAGCTTGCTAACCCCTCTCTCCTCCTGCCTTCCTAACCCACGCCTTCTCCCCCTCTTCCTTCTCAACACCAGGAATTCTCCCTTCCTCCTCCACCACCTCCTCTCCTCCTCCCTCCTCACTCCTCATCCTCCTCCACCTTCTGCCCCTCCTCCTCCTTCACCACCTTCTCCCCACCTTCTCCCCCTCCTTCTCCTCCACCTCCCCTCCTCCTCCTTATCTTCCTCATCCACCTCCTCTCCTCCTC